ATTTCTGTTTTTATGTGACTGCACAAAATCCTACTCTGAAGGTCTTCCTGGTCACGTTAATCACAAAAGTCTCAAACTGCATCATTCAAAGCAGAGGTTAGTTTGATCAGCAACCCAATGGAGTAAGGTTTTGTATTCTCACTGGATAAAGTCCAACAGAATAGTTATGTATAAACAGATGTAGAGCTTCAGATTCTGGACTTTACTCTTACACAAATTGAAGCAATCATAACACATAAATTTAACATTCAATTACGAGATTCATGTTGTAACTATGTTTCTTGATTTATCTAATCATGCCTCATCAACTGTATGTGTTATGAAGTGTGTGATGACAGAATAAATATGAATGATAAACTGTGAAGGATATGGAAGGAAATAATTGTCATTTTATTATACTATCCCAGTATACTTTTGTGAAGACTGGGAAAAACCATGACATCTCTACAACAATAGCTGGACTCAGGGCCAAACAATCAACCCAGAACCTCCTGAATAATAAGCAAGGTAGATAATAACTGTACAATGACTTTCAAAATACAGAGTGCATAAAGCATAAAAACATACTTCTTGTGATACAACTTAAGAACATCCAAGGTTTAATGGTGATCCACAGATTCTGATACTAGAATATTACAAACTAGATTAATAATAACCAAAATTTTAATGCTGGAATTTGTTGCTCAAGTTTTTAAACACTTTGAAATATGAAAATCAGATAAATTATATTTTAGAATACCTCCAAGAAAACAAATTTCTTTCAATTATCAATGAAAGCCTACTATAGGTGCTAAGGAAAATAGAGTTTATTATGGTTCTATAAAACCTATAAATTACATGAGCAGACAACTAAGGCAAGTGATCACGGCCTAAAAATACAAATGAAAAAGAGTTCCTTATCCTTCACATATACAACTGTCATCAATTACATGGCACATGTAAATAGGAAAATTACCACAAGTATAACTATTTTACAATACAGATATTACACATGGCAAACGTGTGGAAGGTGAACATGGGATATGTACAGTTGCAGTTTACCGAGAATAAACAGAGTGGCAAAGAGTGGTACCTTGAACAAATACTTTAAAAATAAGTATAAGAAAATAGTGACTGCATGACAGAAACAAGAGAGGAAAGTTGTTCTCAAATGGAGTACGCATATTTTCCAAATGCATTCACTGTTATTTTGCATACCTCACAGGCAATAATGCTCATTTACTGCAGATACAAACCAAATGTTGCAGAACTAATGACACTACACACTGCATAATGAGATCTGTATTTTGCGTCATGTATCAATTCTTGTATGATGAGCCATTTTTAAGAATAATCTGCGGGTCAAGGTGGAGACGTACGTCGTACCGAAATGTTAGGTTTGAACTTCATATAACATAGGGTTTACACAGTACAGATACAAACTGAAATTAAATGTGCCTGGCAATTTACTTTTGGTGTACACAAAATACAAAATTTCACTGAAGTGCAAGTAGTTCTGAACATGAAACATACAGAAAGACTTAACTTCCCCAGTATTTTTTCATTTCACAAACTTCAAAATGGCTGTACCATCACAATGAGAGAAGTAATGTGATACTGTGGACTGCTGCCACACACCCATGATTAACATACAGATTTTGCCTGACCTGATATGTTGACAAACACGGCAAACCACAAATCAAAAATTCTGAAAGCATAAAATTTTATGTAATTGCTAAAAGCATCATTTCTAATGGTGACAGCACAATGTGAGAGACAGTGAATTCACTGTTCAGCATACAGCTACTTTCTTTCCATTACATTTTTTTTACTGCACAAGTCTCAATGGTCCATTTTTCTCCGCCACTCATTTGTGAAACATTTAATGACTATTTCACAATACAACACATCATAGCTTAATGACACTTGATGCTGCTGTTATGCACTTTATGAGAGCTTTCCAGAAGATAATACAAATGTTTCAATGTTTTGCCTTTTCTATAATTAACAGGCTTTTCAAATCTATCCAAACAGAGAGTTAAGAGATCAAAAGACATATTATTTCAGTCAATGTATCATAAATTTACAAATACAATGGTGCAGCGTCATTTTTCAAAAATTGATAGTTACTTAGTTGATCAAGACATTCCCCACTTTTATAGAGCATGAAGCTTCATTACCATGGTCACAATGACATATCAAAAGCTAGTTAAATCCAGTACACACCCTTACAGGCCTTTTCTTTACAATCCATTTTAATATCAGCCCCTCATTTACATCTTGGGCTCTCAAAGTGGTCTCATAACCTGATGTTTTACAATGACAATTTTGTACACATTTCTAGTCTTCTGTGCATGCTACATGTTCTGCCCAAGGTCAACCTAATGCTATTTGGTAAATAGTACAAAATGTGAAGCTCCTGTTACTTCCTCTCCCTTAGGTTCTACTCTTCTCTCCCAGAAGACCCTCAACCCTCTTTACAATCCTACCACAGTTTTTCTGCCTATATAATTGCAAGTTGCAATGTTTCCGTACTTGGCTTTCTCTTCCTGCTTTAGGTAAAATATTCATTATATAGACATATCTCACATTCTTGTCATGTTCAATATTAGTTGCAGATTAATATAAAGCTTAGATCCTTTTGAGTATTAAACTTGTATGTATTCACCAGGCCAGCAGCACAAAAAGTTTAGGATTCAAAGAATTCTATATTTTATCCCAGCTGTCACCATAAATATTGAAAACAACAGTAAAATTGAAAAAAATGTCAGTTTAATGACCAATCACTTTAAAATAAGTATAGAACTAACTCATGCAATATTTTGTATATTAAATATATATCTTAATTAAGTAATGAACTAATTTCATGGAGCAGTCCTTGAGAAGCAGTCACTCAGCTAATCAAGATATTCCCTTTCACGGAACCCAAAGGTTCATTATGACATTCACAACTGCAAATCCCAGATCCAATGTTAGTGTTTTATGGTGAAGGGTGTTAGCCTCCCACTCAATTTCCAAGCTCCTTTTGCCCATCTGTGAATGTTTATTCAGAGTATTTACAGCTACTTTCCATATCTAGTGGCAATCATCCCCAACCACAACCCAAAGATATGCCATGTAACAGTGACAAGGCAGTCACTTAATTGATGACAATGTCAAACATACTTTTGTGTAATTTCCAACTTCTTGCTTTAGCACTTGTTAACTATCACACAATCAAAATAATTTTATTAAATTGCTGGGGTTGTAAATTTATGTGATGTGAAACCATAAGAATCAAACATACTCACCCACTAAATCTGTAAGGAGTTATGTGTAATACTTCTTTCTTCTTATTGAAGCCTGCTGAGATGTCAATGTGTCTGACACTCACTACATAATTAGTACAAACTATGATGTCAATAAAATCAACGAGAAGTTAGATCACCAAGTCCGGAGCTTCAATTATTTATCTTCATGCAAATTCAGTGTAAATTAAGCCCATGCAGTCCATTACACCATCTAATGTAATGTCAGAAATAAATACAACATTCTACACTATAACTTCAAAATATATTATGACACAATGAAGGTTACAGAATCTATTCAGTGTCTCAATAAAGAATAAAGAAACAGAAGTTGTTGCTCACGTATCATAAATAAGAACCTATACCCTATTTTAAAATGGCCTTTTCATCTTCTCAAACATAAGAAAAACAAGGTAAAAGCATTTGTATAACATATTTTAATTTACTCCCCATGACAGCATAATAACAGCCAGCAGACATGATCTGCAGTGTAACAATGATACTGTACCACAGCAGGGATCTGGCATTTGCCACATTCCCAAAAGTTCTGTGTCAGAGGTAACGTATAGGGAAAACATGTAAAAATCTGCATAGGATCTCACTGACACTGGTACAGAAACAGTGCCAAATATAAATACAAATATAAAATACAAATATAAAGCTCTTTCCACAAAAACTATGCTTAGCTGATTCTGTCTCTTAAAACTTGTTTGTGCAGTGTCAGAATAGGCAGATCCATACATTATGTATTAAACTCTGCAAAACCAGAATATAACTTAGCATTCAAAAAACTGGCATTGGCAGTTTGCAGTAATATACATAACATAATTAGGAAAGTAAGAGTATTTAAAAGAGAGAAAGTAAAAACAGACATGCTGAAAGGAAGGGACCATCTCATATTTCATACAACCTACAAACTATGAAATTTCACAACAGGAAAACTATAAACCTTTGCTGCAATAAGTCTACAAACAGAATAATGTTTGGGCCCCAGTGATACACAACATTTAACTAAATGCAAATTGTTGCATATTATTTCAAAAATTCATAGAAATGCCTGGGATCAGCAACAAAAACTGCAACTTAATGCACAATGATTTTTTTAAACTTTTATTGGCAAAGAATATTCATTTTATCAACTAAACACTTCAGATACCATGGGAATTTAGTGGTTCCATTATAAAAAATAAAGTGATTTCATGAAAATGATGGCAAACCACAGAAGGATTGGTGGCATCTAAGCTATAGTACATGAGAAATTACTTGTACAGAGTGGTTCTGATCTGGATAACAGTGATAATAAACTAGAGTTGGCAATAATAGTATTAGACACAATGCTTTAGTTAATAGCAAAGCACTGCCTATTTACAAACTATGTGGTTTGAAGAGAAATTAGGTTATGTTTGACTAATAATAACAAACAGTTAAATGTTCAATGTAAACAGTACCAAATGTTCCCTGGACATTTATCTACATTCCAATCTTCAAATCATTTAGATATGTTAATAAGTTTAGGAATTACAAATTTTTTTATAAGCTGTTTTACTTAGAAAATTTTAACAATTATTCCTTGTCCAGCACAGACCATAGTTTGGAGATGACTCTTAACTTGTTGATTGAATTATAGTGTATAATCTGATCATGTAATAAATGTGAATCAAAGTTATGTAGTCTTTAATCATAAGAAAGAAAATTATCACTTTACTAATGCATAAATGTAGGTGACTTACCAACCTTGTACTAAAGAAGCTGTATTCTCTGGTGTGTATGCCACTCTAACGAGACTTCTTCCCTCTTCCAAGATAAATATTTCATCTTTGTTAACGGCTATGTCCTGCACTCCCCGTAGATCTGCTACAGTAGCTACCACAGTAATAGCTGCTGGGTTTAAAACATACACCACATCACTGCTGTAGATCACTAAGAGATTTTCTCGGAATACCAGAAGAGGGCCAAACTGGTGATCACCACGAGACTGCCTAACATGAGAAGGAGCAGGATTGATGAGTGGTGTGTGTGTATGTTCCTTCATCACAGCATCCTGTTTGGAGACAGAAAAGGACAATAATAAATCATTGTTATGTTCTATGAATCCAAATATTTCAGTAAAGGGGACTGAGATGCGTACCTAGTAAATTCTAGCAGGGTATACGATGTCCTGTTTTAACAAGGATTTCTATCAGTTTTGTTTTGTTTTGTTTCTATAATTACCAATGCTTTACCAATTGCATATGCTACATAGCATCCTATAGGAAAACAACATATTCTGTAAACACACACATAAATATGCTTTCTTGACTGTGCAGCAACGCAAGTCTCAATAAGCAACAACAGCTATACTGGTAAAGAATGTGCCAAACCAGGGCATTATGACAGCAATATATAAAGAAGAAAGAAACAAGGTGGTATGATATCAATACTTAGAGAGACTGAAAAAAACAAGGACCCCGTCAGAACATCCAGTAATGGTCAAGATTTCAATAAAAAATAAACACATTACCATGGAACTAAACCTTCTTGCTACAGTTCTAATTTACGTGATCTACTATGCTATACAGGGTCTCCCTTGAGCACTTCATATTGTTGTCCATGGTGGTCTTCTGAGTTCTGATGCCATACAGACTTGTAGATGGGTACCAACATTTTGGAGGAACATACTACCTCCATCCTCAGATGCTCCTCCAAAATGTTGATACCCAGATACAAGACCAAACAGTGTCAAACCCAGAAGACCACCAGGCACATCTTCCCCGCTGTGAGAATATCAAATCACATGTCATATAGTTACTCAATTTGTAAAAAAAAATTAAAGATTCATCAATGTGTTCACAATAGAATGCACTGGACCCTACCCTGAGACAGTTCAATTTCAGTTCGTTTCGCCACTCGTTCAGACGGTAGGTCACCGACCTCTGGAGCAATAGAATGCACTGGACCCTACCCTGAGCCAGTTCAATCCACTTCCTATCTTTATACAATCTACTTCTCTACTTCTATTCTTTAATCAATGTTATCTATGACTGTCATCTAAGGTGTTCCTTCTGTTGAGAGGACTTAAAACCAAATTTTATACACATTTCTTGTAACTCTGTACTGATATACCTTATAAATAAGTGTTTGCTGAACAAGACCATCCTTATCTGCAAGCCAGACTCGCAGACCAGGTCTACTTGAGTACACCACCAATTCCTGGGGACGTCCAGAACCAAGGCAAAATGTAGCTCCTAGTCTGCCAAGCCTGATGAATGGAAATAACAAATCATATAAAACAGTATGGTAAATGATTTCCTACTTCAAATCCCAGTCCAGATAAACTACTGAATGAGGGTCTTCATGGGTTTCTTAAGATCTAGGAAATTGCTAGAATAATGACTTAAATTAGGCTATGACCATGTCCTTCCACACCCTTTCCAATTAATCACCCTATCAATCAACATTATATAATTTTAGCAACTGAAGGCACCATTAAATAAACCAAGAGTACATCAAATGTATTTCATGAAGATAAAAAATCTTTCAAAGACTAGAAAACATTTTAAGACAAACTCACGTTTTTCTCTCCTTCTGTCCAACCTGTGCGACTTTCCAGCGGTCCTCTCTGTGACAACATACAATGCTTCTGTACAATGTTGAAACAAGAAGCAGCTGCTGACTATAGCTCAGCTGCACAATTTCATACTTCTCATTCAGCAGCTCCACTGACTTGCTAAGATGCTGCAATAAGAACCATGGTATTTCTCAGGTTCAAGTATAATTGATAGAGAATCTCATTTCTTAATGTACACTATACATTCCTAACAGAAAATTTTAAAATATTCATGCATGACAATGCAAGTGACAACACTAGTATATTTCAAAATGGAGCATGCTGATGTAGTACATGATCTTGTGTAATTTGCTACCAATACCAAAGACAGCAGTGCTCATTCAAAACATTACTTTGAATAGCAAAATTAAACAGACTGTCAGAATGCATATAAGTGTTTCAAAACTGTTCAGTTCTGAAGAAATTTGTCACCTCATTTATTTCAGGAGTCTCTATAAGTTATTTATCCTTTTGTATGAGACTGGTAACATCTATAAAAAAATCCAAAGATAATCTGTTGGCAAATGTATATATTAAAATTTTATGGAAAACAGTAGTAAATCAAAAATAAATTAACAAGAGTGAAAAAATCTATTCCAATTTGGAGAATTTTTCCAAATGTACATTCTTTGCGATTTTAGATACTTCACTGACCTTTGCATTTACAAATCTTGTAACGGTAACTTAAATGTACTTATTTTTTATATCATTAAGTGCATAACCTCACTGACATAAAACATAACATTTCTCTCAAACCAGATGAAATTCTTTACATCAGTGATGTCCTTATTTACCATTTGGTAACTATATTCAATCACCATTCATGACATAATATTTAGATATAAAATATATACTATATATGCACTGAATTACATTAATGTTCATTACCTTTTCAATAAGCTTATCTATAAAAATCAATTAGTATTTAAATATGTAACTAAATACCTTTCTTCAAATGCAGAAAGCAAAAATGCTCAAATTAACAGCCAGTTCCATTACTCTGCAGATACAAATGTCATAATGCAAAGCTATCCACAATACATACAGCCAAGAAAACACATTTCTTATGATTTTGTTAAATATTCAACATTTCAAATAATGAATTTCAAGCAGAAACCATAAGCCTACTTCCCTATTACAAAGACTTCCAGTTACAGATCTTATGTTGTGATTGTTGTATCTACATAATGTAAATTTATAATTCAATAATTTAGTGCAAATTAGCTCATGGGTTAGAACGCTGGATTCATAGACTAACAGTCAAATGACTGAATCCTACTTGAAACAGTCTTTATTGCCTGCAACTGTAAATCTGTAACATATAGTAGATACTGATTACTGTTACTATTATATTACTGGAATTAACTTCTTACTAGAGTACAGATTGTACTGTTACCATGTTAACTTCCAAACCACACTTCATACAAACTTTGTAGGTATGTTTTTTATCTGCCTTCATATCAAATTGCATAGCTACAATGGTTCTTTGGTTATCGCCATCAAACAGAACACTAAAAACAGATTTTATGCAGCTACAATGTTGCTGTTACACACTCTTTTAAAAAAAAACTAATAAAACTTGCATAATTTCTTCAGGATCATACATTAAAAGTAAAGTAAAGCTGTCCCACTAGATGCCATATAGGTTGTTTCGGGGGAGCGGAGGTATAGCTCCTACTCTTTCTTGACCTTGACACTAGAGTGGTCAGTGGTCAGCATCACGCCCCGGTCGCACTTCACTCTCGGGAAGGGACCCCGCTACCCATTGGATGGAGGTTGGATGGGCCACAGAGCCAATCTGGATGAAGAGGCTAGAGGAAAAATCCTCTGCCCCTGTCGGGGATCAAACCCCGGTCGTCCAGCCCATAGCTAGTCGCTATACTGACTGAGCTAGTGGTAGTAATGTCTCTCATGGGCTATGTGACTTCTAAACTTCCCTATATAAATGCAAATTCTCTTCTGTTATCTAGCTAAATGTAAAACATTCAAATATTTAAAAAGAAATAAATCATAACACAACTAAGTAAGTTACAAAAATGTTAACCTTTGAATTTTGCATCATAAGAATGTGCCATTCCTATTACTAGTTATATTTACCATATAGAAATCAATCTCTGTGAGAACTACGAGCCCATTTTTATCACCACTGAACAGCTTCATGCCATTCATACTCCATTCTATTGCTGTTACTGCAGATGAATGAAGCCCACTAATTGTGTATCTTTCTACCTGAAATAATGATATTTACAGGACTGTAAGTGCCCTATTATATATATAGGTAGAAAACAGAACAAAATGTGTATATCTGCCAAGTAATGTTGCTTACCAGGAGCTATAAGATTTTCACACAATTAACTTTCTTAGGGTAGTAGAAATTAGGTAAAATGGGTATTTAGATGATAGAAAAGTAGTTATGAAGATTGAGAAGGTAATGGATGGTTATCACTGGGGAAGTGTGTATTGAGCATGGGAGGTGGATGAATCAGACTCAGGATTAAGTTCAGCATAAGTCTGTGATAAAGAAGAAAGTTCCAGGAATTAAAATGAGAAGCTGAGAATAGTGAAAACTGGAGAGCTCTTTTTGGGCAGAGCAATGGACCTGTCGTAAGACAGAACACTGAATAATAATAATAATAAAAAAGTCACCCTGAACCTCTGGATTCTACTACTACAGTAAGTAATGTCAGTTCTCAGTATGACTGACCAAAGATTTATTTATTTAATGACACCATCAGCAGCTCAGATTACTTTGTACCAAATTATAGTATGACCAAATAGTGAATTGGAAAGAATATGGAAGAAAGCAGTTGTGGCCTAATTTAAGGTACTATTCCAGCAATGTCTGGAGGGAATGAGGAAAATCACCAAGAAACCTGTCAGGATATCTGGTCACTGGACCTCTCTAAACCAAGAACCTCCTGAATATGAAGCAGAAGTGGCCTTGATGTTCAGTGCCAATGAATGAAAATATTGGATAGATCACATGGTAAAGATGCCCATGATGGTTGGCTGAGATAAGGACATGTTAAAATGTGCTCCATATTTAAAGAGCAGTAACCACGTTACAAATTCCATATCCCTCACCTGTAATGAGGTTACTGCTGATCCCTCTCCAGTATAATGGATGCAGCATAAAGCCCATTAAGAACAGCAGGTATTAGAGAAACATATTCAAGCACACTAAAATGATTTCAACGCTGTGTTTCTCAACTGATGGTCTACAAATTACAGCCAGTCTGAAAATGTTGTTACTTTTATGTGACACAGATAAGATACCAGTCCTCAGGAAACCCAATGTTGTTTTACAACTCCATGGATCAAAAGAGATAATGAACCACTGTTATAACATACCTGTTTATTTTTCTTCGGTTTCATACTCTCTGGAAGACTATCAGGTGGTGTCTTAGGGATCTGGAAAACAGTTACTATACCCTGATCATTGCCTGCAGCCACCATAAAGTCCACTGTTGAGATCACTTTAACATGTGTAATAGATGATCCTGTGTTCTGGAAACAAATCAGCTATATTTGACACAGTCTTTGTGTAACAAAAGATAGCATAGCTTCATTTATGAGTTTAAAAATTTGTCATACTTATTTTTACTGAAATAAGAAATTTAATTTATATACTCAAAAGTTTTACTGATCTCAGAAAGTAAAATCATACAACAAGTAGACCTGATATGTTTTGTCCTGTTATGGGGATATTCTATAACAATTCTTTTTTGTCATTATCATAATATGTATGAAACAAGAGTGAACAGATGCTGTTTCCCCTTAACACCATCTTATATATTTGTCTTCGTACATTTACAATAAGGAGACTTACCTCACAACGCAACCTTTGCAAGTCTCCCTTTTTCCGGTTATACCAATAAACTAAACCAAGATTGGTACCAACAGCAATAAATTCAGGTAATGCATCAACACATGTAAGACTCAGGTCATGGGTGAAGAGTCCTCTTTGGGCCTTCAATGGAATTTGCTGGAGTAAACCTGTTAGAGGAGCCCACTCCCTTAAAATCCCATCTTCCTCTGATGAAGGGTCGGCCATTCTTTTAAATATATGTCCTTTACAACAGCTGTTCAATCAGTGACATGCAATGGCAGCTACATAATATCCTTAAACACACAGACCACATTTATTAGTAATTCGTGTAAAAAGTTTCACACTTTATAATACAGGGGATATGGCCAAAATATTTCTAGACTGAATGCAAGGTAACTCTAAAGAAGTTACTACACACTTCCTCTGTTAGATTATGGAAGAATACTGGCTTTATAATTTATCATCAATTTTAGAACTACAGAATGTATCACTCAGGAGTAATTGGCAATTTCCATCTTTTCACAAAATAACAGATTTGAAATAACTACATTCCAAGAATGAACAATGGGCAATGCCAAACATTCAAATATTTTCCGTTTAAACGTGGAATGACTTCTGTTGAAGACACTATATGTTTAGGGTATTATTCTTTAACATTAATGGAACTGTGTAACACAAATTCCTTCCACAGACACAAACTGCAGAGAACAAAACAGAGGACTTCCATAGATGCTTCCATCAATGGCATAATTGTTGGATTGGTATCAGGTAGCAAGAGAACTGCTCTGAATGGTAAATGTAAGCAAAATAATTCAGACTAAAAATTTTTTCCTTACAGCTCATACACTCTGCAGAATTATACTTAAGAATACTGAGGCATTTTATTAGTCCTTAGCAATATAACCAAAAAGTACACACTCAGGTGAATGAGGTTTTTATAACCCTTACAAGGAGGAAGCTAAAAGAAAAGTTATAACCCATGTTTCAGTACCATGTCACCAACACACTTGAAAGGCAACAGTTAATGTCATCCTGTCAACTTTAAGCTCCAGCCACCTTTACTCCAAGAGAAACTGTTCCCAAAACCCATTAAAAAGGGCCAAATTAATTGTGGATGTTCTGGTGAAGAGCAAAATCCACACTGCACTCACCAGAGATCAAATAATAATAATTCATTTCACAGAAAGTCACTTTACTGACTGAGCCCCACTGCTCCTTTAACATGATGCTATCTGAAGAGTTCTGTCAATATCTTTATTAAGAATTAAGGTACACCATGTAAATTTATGTCCCCTATGCTTAATTACCATGCCATGAAGTGGCAGGAGAAAGTGGAAGAAAAGAAAAAGCTCCATGCATTCTTAATCTCAGCATCAGATGGAAGTGAGTAAATAATCAGTTCGTGCTCAGGTTTACTCTGATGCTGGATCCCCCAGAACCCTCTGGACAGTAGACTGATTTTATCTTTCTTCTTCTTGTATAGAAATGTAAAGATAAAATATACAAAACTATAATTCTATTTGTTATGTTATATGGATGTGAAACTTGTTTTACCAACCTAAGGGAAGCTCATAAATTGAGAGCATTTTAAAACAGGATTATGAAAAGAATATTTAGCTCTAAGGCAAAGGAACTTAACTGGCACATGGAAAAACTGTAGTGAGGAGCATACAATATACGTGAAATAACCTGAAGGAAATTAATTAGAGCCCTAAACAAAAGTGAAAATATGTCAAAACTGAATTTAAGGAATTACAGTGTCAGGATGAGGACTGATATCAATTGGCTTAAGAGAAGTAGTGGCAGGTTCTTGTGAACATGGGAATAAACTCTCAGGTATTATAAAATGAGAAGAATTTCTTGGCCCCAAAGTCATCAAATCGGCAGAATTGCTTATGTGCAAAAATACATTACCATCATGCATAGCACAATTATTATTTTCAGATTCTTTCAAATATGAATCCAGGTTCCAGAAATAACGAGATCCACATTTCTGCTGAACTACTGTAAAACCCCGAAATCTTTTTATGAATCAACAATACGACCCTCAAATGTACCAACCGAACAAAATCTGACATTTTAATTATAAATTTGTAACTTCATCAATATTTTTGCACAAACGAATTTCTTCTGCGAGGAGACAAATATCTAATACAGCTGAAGTAAAGGTTTGTATATGTACCTTGCTGACGTGTCCTATGTCAAATGACTGACCAAAAGGGCTGAACATTAACTAAACTATCAGTTTCGTAATATATATACACATACAGCATATAGGGCCCATCTTGTCTTCTGACAGCTTGCTTTATTCACAAATATAATACAAGAAGTAAAGCTAGTTAAGAGTGTCGTTCATGAGGAAACGCATTTTATTCAAAGAATTTCGAAACTGAACGAAGACCAAAATCAACACCACAAAACCTTAATCCAATAACTACCACACTCCTTTCACGCTACACCTTTACTCACGTTCACCATGATCTGTGTATCACGGAGTACCGTAAACTTGCAGTCGTTGTGTATAAATTCGAGATATCGAAATTTGTTGACAGGGAAAGAAAGTGCAAAAGCATATTATTTAATGAGGGTTGTGCATGCTTCATAAGCAAAGTAGAATAACCGAAATATTATATAAATATGTTTTCTTGTGTCTGTTTCTGCAGTAATATTGTAGTAGGCTGTATATCACTGTTACAACTATTTTATTTATGAAGATATCCGTCTTCTGGGTTATTGCGCTGTGTAGTCTGGTCGATGTTAACCAACGTTTCAGAGGTGTGTGGACCAATGGTAGCACGTGGGCGAGAGTGGGAGAGAGAGAGAAGTAGAGAGAGAAAGTGAGTTTGGTTGTATGGATAAGGGCCCTGAGAAGGGCCGAGTTAGTGGTCTGGTTGGTTCTGGCGGCGCACTCTTGCTCGCTCCGAGGACTCCGAGAGCTGCCTGAAAAATCCGCGGTTGCTGTGCATCGTTTCAACATGGGACACCGTATACAGCACGCACTCCTATTGGCCCACCGCCACACCTGCTCCCATTAGCTCGGGCAGGCTACTCCTTGCACACTCCGGTACCTATAAAACCAGCCCCCACACCCCATGGTTGGTTGGTTGGTTGGTTTATAGCTATCTATCTACTTCCAGAGATTCCTGGGGCCGAATATCAGCTGAATATGGGTAGAGAGGGAAAAGAAAGCACATCGAACGCCCTTGCAGTTCAGTTGGATGCACAGGGAAAGGTAAAATATTATATCCTGGCACGTCATGGACACACAAAGAACAAGATTATCTATTGGAAACTAACAGACCTTCTTCCAGCTGAAGTGGTGGCTGAGGATGATCCAAGCCTGGAAAGACCATCAGAAGATGATGTGCGAGACACTACTGAGAAGACTCGTCTTGCCTTGGAACTTCTTACACATACAAAGATAGCAGCTGCTATGCCAGTTAGGTGTGCAGAAAGAGCAGGTCCTGCACAATACATTCGTTACACACCGTCTCAGCAGGGGACTGCCTTCAATTCAGGTGCTAAGCAACGGGTTATTCGAATGTTGGAGGCTCAGAAGGATCCCATAGAACCACCAAAGTTCAAGATCAATAAGAAGATACCTCGTGGACCTCCCTCACCACCTGCTCCAGTAATGCACTCTCCAACGAGGAAGGTAACTGTTAAGGAGCAGAAGGAATGGAAGATTCCACCATGCATTTCCAACTGGAAGAATGCTAAGGGATATACCATCCCACTGGACAAACGACTTGCTGCAGATGGACGTGGCTTGCAACAGGTTCATATTAATGAGAACTTTGCCAAACTGGCGGAGGCCTTGTATATTTCTGACAGAAAGGCACGTGAAGCTGTGGAGATGCGAGCTCAGCTGGAGAAAAAGCTGGCACTGAAAGAGAAGGAGAAGAAGGAAGAACATTTGCGACAACTTGCGCAAAAGGCCCGTGAGGAACGGGCAGGCATCAGAACTCAGGCAGCTGCTGATAAGGATGACGAAATTAGGGAGCGTGATCAGTTGCGTTATGAGCGTCACAAGGATCGTCAGCGTGAACGCAACATTGCTAGAGCTGCTCCCGATAAGAGGTCAAAGCTGCAGCGTGATCGAGAACGAGACATCAGTGAACAAATTGCACTATGTTTGCCAGCCAAAAACATATCTGGTGGGGAGATTCAATTTGATCAGCGTTTGTTCAACACTACAAAGGGTATGGATTCTGGGTATGGGGATGAAGAGTCTAATAACGTGTATGATAAACCATGGCGTGAAGGTGGCAGTCTTGGCGCACATATCTACCACCCTAGTCGGAACTTGGACAAGGACGTGTATGGAGATGATCTTGACAAGTTTATTAAGACCAATAGGTTTGTGCCTGATAAAGAATTTAGTGGCACGGATCGTACAGCTACAAGAAGTGGACCTGTTCAGTTTGAAAAGGAAGAGGAGGATCCTTTTGGCTTGGACCAGTTCTTGACACAGGCTAAACGTGCGAACAAGCGTCCCAAGGATGATCGGGATCGACGAGGTGAAGAACGTGATAAGCGTAAACGGAGAGAATAATTGTAGGTCATAAATATTTGGACTGCCTGCCAAATGCAACAAATAAAAAATATTTTCCATGAAGTTATTTTAATGTGATTGAGTGAACTATGGATGGGACAATTTCAGACTGTGTTAGTATGTGAATGTAAACATATTGGCTGAATTTAGTACACACCACCTATTATACCAGGTCTTATACTGTAAATGAAAGTATACAATAAATATCTTAGATGCTTTGAAAGTAGACAATATGAGGCATTTATATATCTCATTACCACTTTTCTTTTTAATATTTCCTTGGAAGGGTAAAAAAAACTACCATGACTGAGGTTTTCCGTGCTTTTCCTCAGTTGTAAGGCGAATGCGAAGGTATAATATAATAGGGGCACGGCCCGCCACCCCCG